TTCATATCGGCAAGGCCCGAATAAAGCGTCCCGGACAACTCTATTGCATCTCTCCTCATTAACGCCAACTAGTCATCAACTAATGGTCCGGGAAGATACGAGTAGCCATGGCCACTGACCACTGACGCAAATCATTATTCCGCTATTGGAAGTGTCCTGTAGCCCAACTGTAGCATGTACCGTACATGTACTCCATAGCTGCATCGGGGATGGAGGAAGTGCATGGGACAACTTGAGATTGCTTGAGATTGCAGCGATTTTCAGGGGAAGAATAATATCACGTGGCTCAGCGGACCCTAAGTTACCCCAGTCACAATCTGAGAATTTCCAGCCATTCCCGTTCGGGAACTTCTCCTCCTCGACAAACCGCATCGAGGAGAGCCGTCGAAGTTCAAAGAGAGACAAATTTTCGGAAGTGCCGACTCAAGTACTCCGAATCGGGTGCATCGTTTGCTCTCACGCGACTACCACTCAAATGGTTGTTTGACTCGATTATCTATGCTCAGGAATGATATGCAACTCGAAACCTTTGCAATCACTCTAAGACTTTCAGTACGGTCTTCCCAGTCAACTCAGACAACTTGAAGTCACTTGAGCCAGGACGGGAATATCCCCCCCTTCAATGAAGATCTGGCTTCTAAGGAGTTATCATGAGAATAAATTGATGTAACATCAAGCCTGAAAGATGCAGTTTTCAAGTGCATTCGGAACACCCCAAACCGCACAAAGCAGATCAGGAAGCTAGGAAGGCAAAACAACATAACAGCTTTTGATGAGTTAAAAATGTAGACAAGATGCATCGTGTTCCACCATGCAGGGGGTCAGGAGCATGGTACCACGCGGACAAAGTTCTCTCGGCCGGAGACTGATGATCATTTTCAAGTCATACATATTCATCACCAATTGGTCGAATCATGTGGATATACGCTGTAGAGAGCTAACTATCTGGACTTCAGAGGGATATCCTTTCTATCAATCATCTGCCAAGGAAGCATCCAACTGCCATGAGGCTGGACTTCGTCCGATCATCCAGCACAAGGGCTTGGCGGGTCGAACAAGCACATGGAAAATTGGGTAGGCAGCCTAAGGTAACGCGCAGTAACTAGTTGCCTTTGGTGAACTACCTCTAACGAAAGATTAGGTGTCAGATTGGCGCTACTGGAATTGTCCAGGTCCAGAATTAAGATTTCCGCTGAAAGTCCTAGCAACTTTTTGTTCCAAACCTCCGTCAAGCTAGAGTAAATTCAATGTCCGGCATTGTTAACTTCTATTCAGCTACTTCGCCTTCTCTGCGAAATTCAAATGTGCTATTACCATCTACTGCTCCTTCCATACACTTTGAAAATCTTTCCGTGTGATAACCGGAGAGCCTGTTACATACAGTTGAGCTAATCGACGAAACTACGCTCTATGACCCTCCAATGCAATTTTCACAGCTATTCTACCACTTAGAAACCTACTCCTACAATATCACAACTCGGTTGGGAAATGAAAAATATGTCGACTAGGGGTATTAGAAAGTTTGGCGTGGTGTCGATATACTGCATAGACCCAATACACATCCAGCAAACCGACCCGGTGTCCGAACGCCATATCCGCGAGAGTTGTCGAATTGCTCACCACATCTCTACAATACATATATCCTAGAAAAGGGTACGCGGAACTTACGCAATTGTCTATTCTAAACCATATAAACTGGGATGCGGGAACGGATAACTTTGGCTGTACACACCTCATATGTGTTAGGACAAAGTTGTATAAATATGCCTATAAAACGAGGAAATTGGCTTTGTTAAGTCCTTGCAGCCTCAACCTCTCGGGCGTTCTTCGCAATAAGCTTCTCATATTCCTTGACATTATTTACACCCAATGGCATTCCGTTTGTCTGCAAGCCCTGTTCATTCATATAAATTTCACGGACCTCCATAGCCTTCTTCCACGACTCGCGAGCCTCCATACGATGTTGCCATGCCTGTACATTGGGATACGGGGCCAGAGGGTCTTCTCCTGCGGGGGTTTCGAGTAACATGTTGAGGCGGTTATTCCAAGGCAGGAAAGCCAAGTCAGCATAGGTGCACTTGTCGCCGACAAGCCACTGCTTGCCGTCAAGGGCAGTATTTAGGACGCCCAGAACACGGCGAACATGTTCCTGATAACGCTCAATGGCGGAGGGGATTTTCTCATGATGCAGGACGGTGAACCTGCAGGCCGAGAATGAGATGCCATCAGATGAATATTCACGGCAAAACAGGAGAAAGTGCATGGAAGCATACCATCCGGCCTGCCCATAGTATGGGCCCTGGCCACTGACTTGGAAATGAAGCCACTGATTCAGCAGATGCCTCTCCTTAAAGGTACTGTAAGTCAGTTTCTTCTCTTTATCGTATACCTCCTCTAGGTAGTGCACAATAGCACCGGACTCCCAAAGCGTTAAATCGGTATTTGGATCCTCGATAGCTATTTGCCCATTCAGCTTCCAGCAAGCAAAGCAGGAACGAAGAAGGGTTTACGCCAGGTTACTTACCTGGAACTCGACCATTAGGATTAATGTAGATAAAGGGCGGCTTCTTGACATCATCGAACTTGAACGACTTAATAATATAGGGGACCCCTAGCTCATGAAGAATTGTGACGACCTTCGAATAAGAAATCGTCAGCCCTGAAATATCATGTTCTCGTTTATTGAGGAGCTGGATACTCTCAGTACCTTCCACGGGTTTGGGCCTGGTGCTTTTCAATAATTAATCAGTCTGTGAGCTACTCATAGTAAGATATACCAGATCAGGGTAACATAAAGGAAAACTCACGAGTCAACCACACTATAATAGGCTTGATCGTCATTATCGTTTTCAGGGGGGAACGGGACCGTCAGTGAAGTAGCCTTCCAAGAATGCCCAATTTGAGGACTTCAGTTGGTTTGATGTACGATGAATCGGCCAGGTAAACTACATTCGCCCTCGACAGACGAAAATTTCAAAAGAGGGGTTGGACATGTCCCTCTTAAATATCTAGATCTACTGCATACGCAGTGCTGAATGCATCATCTTTAACGCGAAAAGTCTAGGACAATCTCAGGGTTAGCCGCAGGGGTAGTCACAGGGGTAGCCAAATCTAAAATGGATATAATCCCCGCTGGCGTATCAGTCATGCTGATAGGGTTGAAATAAGGATATGGGCCGAGGTTCGCCAGCAACTAACTGGTTAGTTAGCATACTATGGTAGATGTCCAGGACAATGATGAAACCCGCCGAACAACCATCTTCTGAACGGATTCTCGAGCACGATTCCACAAAACACCCCTGGTGCTCGGTATTACGCAGCGTACACCAGCAGGTCTTCTTAAAGGGATCCTGCAACATCAAGTTGCAAAATTTTAGCACACATGCATGGCCTTTTTTTCTATTAGTGTTGATTTTTTCACGGGTCGGGTTGAAAAAGTGGTGGGGGTTTGCCCGAATGAACGGGTTCCCGGGTTCACTTAATTAAACCCACGAACCTGACCCGAGTTTTTAGGGGCGCTTATGGGTGCCTATAGCGGGTGACATGTCTAAATTACTTAACTAAATTTAGTTAATCCTCTATAAGACTGGACATGGGCCTCCCTCCTAAGCGGGAGTGCTTTTTGGGGTCGGGTCGGGTTCCAGGGGTGACATGCCCGTAATAATGGGCTTTTTCGCGGGTCGGGTTCACAACACTAGAACAGTGATGATAACAGTACAGAGTAAATATGAATATGAATTATTATTATTCAATAGTTAATTAGAGAATAAAAGATGAATAGAGAAGTGTCTAGATAAAGAAGTTGAGAGTTACTTTGTCTCATTAACTTGATTCTGAATAATATCCTTCATCACCAATACAATATAATGTCAACTTTTTGAACATTGATGAGGATACTGTCCCACACTCAATGATAATGATGGAAAGATCCCTCTTTTAATCCAGTCTGTACCAACGAACATTGCTAGTGGATATCCAATTTAGCGTATTCGAAAATTCTGTCATTTCTTGGCAGTCAAAAACAACGCGTTGACACCATTTGAACGAATTTCATCAACTTCCGCAGCAATTTCTATACAGATCTGATATTCTCTGATTGCAATATATTATTCATATCCTATATTGAATGAAGCTATACTGATTTCCTAATTCGGAAAATTTGTGCATATATATATCATCATGTCTTCAAAACGCCGTTCGACCACAACGCGATGTTCAAACATGAAAGACACCCCTTCCATCTCTACAGCAGCAATAGCTTCAGTTTCTACTGCAAAAGCTTCTACTGCAAAAGCTTCTACTGTGAAAGTTTCTACTGTAAAGACTTCTTCTGCAAAAGCTACTACTGTTTCATTTGTTTCTTATGATCTACATAGAAAACACATTCTGTGTATCGATCTGCCTCTCTTAGAGGCCAGCCATATCCAAATCCTGCTGGCACCTACATGCCAACCTCTGCTACTCGGGAAATTACGTGAATGAGAAATGACCAAAGTGTTAAAAAGTCTACAAAACAGTTGATAAAAGCTGCATCAAAATCAAGAGAATCTGCTACAAAAACTCCATCTTTACCTCATTAATCTCATTCAGTAAAAAAAGTCAGAATTCAAACATCATTATGAAATTCATCTGAGTCTGTATATAAAGATATTGAGAAACAATCAACAATTGAAATTAATTATGTGAAGAATGATGATGATTCTCTTTTTATATTACCACTGTTTAAAAATTTAAATGAAAAAGAAGAAGCTGCACATCATCTGTATTCATTTAAAAAAAACTTTTAAAAAATTGTTCACAATAGAAAGATCTGTGAAGTATACTGAGTGTTTCAAAATACTGATAATAAAATCTTTACTTCTGAACTTGAAGAGTCTATGAATGATCATATGCAGAAAGTTGACTTTCCAATTGAAATCAATTTATATATATACATCAACAAAAAATTGACTATTCAGAAGATTTTATCAAGAACCACAGTTCATTTGTTAAATTTTAACTAACATTGAGAAGGTTATTATTATAAGCTCACTGACATCATTAATTGAAAATCTTTCTTATTCAATTACCATTTAAAATGCAATTATGAGATCAACAACTGAATGGAGTAATTTACACAATTATGATATTGAGGATTTTTCATTGACTTTAACATCTCAAATTACAGAGCTTTTAATGAGTCAACATTAAAATTTCCTTTAATTTTTTCTGAAATTTGATTTTGAAATCAAAGTGAATTGTGAAGAGCTTCTAAATCAGTTTAAAAAATTAAAATTTATAAAAGAGATTAATATTTCAAACTCATCATTTGTTTCTGCATCTAATCAATCTGCTGGAATTAATCAACTACTACATCAGAATTCTACATACTTGAATGCCATTCAAAATGCTGATGAATTTCAATGACAGTTGATGAATTGTTTTCAATGTTGACAATAGAGTTGCATCAATTAAAATAATTATTGCTATTCTGATTCTGCAGACACTTCTTTGCATTATAATATTATCATTTTTTAATATAAATCATGAGCAAATGCTATATCATCTGAAGATGCAACTTTACAACAGTCATCAATGAAACTTTTACAATATTGACAGACAGTGCAAGGTTCAATTTCTCAAAAATCTCATCAATCTATTAAACAATCTGCTATACAGCAAACTAAGAGTGTCATGAAATGTATGTTAAAGATGCAACAACAAATATAAAAACAATATATATAGCAATGAATAATGAAGCAAATGAAAGCAATGAAAGAAAAACAAGAATGCTGTGAAGAATTTCAAGAATGACATCAAATGCAATGAGTTCAATAATTTGATTGACAGCAATATTCACAATGAGAGCCGCTCTTCAATTTTTATTTGCTCAGTCGGTCTTTAACATTCAGACTTTCACTAATTTCAAGTTCTTTTCTTAAGATAATTCCATCAAAGTCATTCAGTTCTATCTAATCTGATTCTGATGATATTAATATTCTCATCCTCTTTTTTAATTGAAGAATTAGCCAAATATCTAATGCTGAGAAGAGGTAAAAATGGAAGCAGACTAAGAATATAATTTTTACAAATGACTGAAATATTAAAAATCTTAAAAATATGGAAAACTGTGAAACTTCTATTTTACATAGTTTTGAATACAGAAATATTCAATGGCTTTGTCTGTGAATTTCAATGAGAGCTTCATTTAAAAATTGTTTCCATCAATAAAGAAACAGTTCTTCAATAATCACAGCTGCTATGACTCTGATAAACTGAGAAGCAATGTGATAAATGTCAGACATTATAAAGCTGCATGACAACCCTTTATTTTCAATTTAAATGAAGGTTTATAACTCAGTGATTAAGGCTTCTGTATTAGTTATGTGAGGATGAGTGATTATTTCTAACCTTGTTACAATTTGATGAGATGATAGCCTCACTTGAAATATCAACCTGAATAGTATGACACTCTCTATAACTAATATCTTTTTTTTGACAGGTACCCGCCGCGGAAAAAAAAAAAAATAAAAAATGACATGAGTGAGGAATGAACAGAGAGCCTTCTATTTCAATGACAATGATATAAGCAGCATGCGGTTGATGAGTATGACACAGCACGCAGTTGGCGAATATGGCAGCGGGATATGATAATGATTAACCTCAGATGGAAGGATAAGAAAGAGAGGATTCAAAATCTGATTTCTATACTTCTGTATCTTCATTTTCATATTCATCAAGAAATCTTTTAAATTGAATGAGCTCTTTTTCTTCAATATACACCCCTTCTGCAGCATGTCTGAATTGTGATCGAGCAAATCAGTCACAGCGAGACTCTCAAATAGCCAATTCTAAGAATTCTTCATAGGTTGTACAAGTTCGACGAAGAAAGGTCCAATGATGTTTCATCCAAGCCTTCAAGACTGAAAATGTAAGCTCAATTGGGTTGAAATTCAGGGAATAAGAAGGAAGATAATGAATAAGATGACCGGCTGTCTGAATTAACTGAGTTACTTCATCCCTAACATGAATTGACATGTTATCCATGATAATAACCATCAGCCGATTGTTGAATGCAGTATTAATAGTTAGTAAAAGCTTGTTCTAAAGCCAATTCAAAAAGTCTTCTGAATTTCAATAACCTTCTTTAATGTCTATGCAAGGCAGATATTCATCAAAAGTCATGACTGCACAAATACTTCAAGTCTTTCCTTTTGTTATATCAGCCTCAATTGATGCATCATCATCAACTGAAGAGTAGTCATGAGTTCGCCAGCCAGTCTTCTCATTGAAAATGGACTCATCCAGAAAAACCAGATCATCCGCAGAAAACTGTGTAATATCATTGATATAGGCCTGGCGCAGGCTTCACTGTGAGACAGAGATATACATTGAAGCAGCTTTCGATTCCATTTGCGACATGTAATAACTTGGATATGCAGACTGGCTAGTTTGACTCCTCACTCATTTCAAAGCAGTATACCATTTCATTCTGATGCACCACCTTCTGAAGAGAATCAAAGGCTTTCTCATCTACGACGACGTTTACGGTCCAGCCAAGTGATGTTATTGAAGTGGTGACACTCAGTTCACAGTAGATTGCTCTGAAGCCGGAAGACTGTCCAAGAACTAACATGACATTCTTGAGCTATATCATTTGACTTCCAATTAAAAAGAAGCAATCGCAGCAAGTCAGCTTGTTTTGAGGGAGGTAGGCCACACGAAGAATACAGCTTAGGAAACTCAGAGTGGTACAGGTTCTCTTGCTCTTGTGACGCAGCCATCAACATATATATTGCTAAATTCAGAAATCAGCACAGCTTCATTCAACAGAGCAGGAAGGATAATAAATCACCATCAAAGCATATAAGACTTGTATAGAAATTGAGGCAGAAGATGATGAGAATTGATTTCAATCAATAATTGATTTAAATGGTGTCAACGCGTTGTTTTTGACTGCCAAGAAATGACAGAATTTTCGAATACGCTAAATTGGGGTCCCATCGCTACAGGTTTAGCGACCACTTTTCAAGCCGCATCAAGGGGCCATAAACTGCGAAGTAGCCCAGGCAATTTTTTATCCATTTCAATCAAGAAACCTCAAACTTACAAAGCTTGCAGGGAATCTAAAAATAAAAGCTTAGTTGCGCTGAGGCAATCGCAGACGGGACATTAGTAACTATCAATTCACTTTCTTGGTCAGCAAATTTTTATTGACCAATTCAAGTCAACTGCTCAACTTTTACTCCTTTGAGTGGCAGTAACAAATAGCAAGAGGAGCCAGTTTTCAAAAAAAAAAAAAAAAAATAAATAAATAAATAAATAAAATAAAATAAAATAAAATAAAATAAACACCGTGTTACGTTGTTGGAGGTTATTTACTTTCGACTCTCCGAAAACCGACGGGATTTGTCGAACTTGCAGCCCCTCTAACCAAAAAATATTTATTTGCATGACAACATCCCACCTCCAAAACCCCGACTCACTGCAACAGCCTCTCTGTCAAGCGCTAGTCTCTACCTTCGCAACTTCGTCCATCGTGTGTCTCAGGTGAGGCAGACAGACGGGAAAAATTAAAAAAAACGTCATGGGGATCCCGTTTCTCATCTCACTTGATCCCCACACTCTCTCACTCCCCGCTTCTGCCGCAGGCCTCTCTCTAACACAGATCTCCTATTTCGGCCGGGTCTTCCTGAAATCGTGCGATACGGAACAAGCCATCGACTTTATTAGGCGATTTTCCTCGCTCCTGGATGTCTACATTGACACATCGGCTATCGAAAACGTAGGAGATGTCGTTGAGATCCTGGACTCAGGCGCATCCAAGGCCTTGGTTACACCAGCTCAATTGACTACCTTGTCAAGGGAGCAGACAGTTCCCCCATCGAGATTAATTATTTCTCTCTCGTGTGTGACGGAGGCTACAGAGTTACAAAATTGGATTGCGGAGAACGATGAGCGGGAAGAAATCAGTGTTCACTGCGTAGATTCTCCAGATGTCGGTGCCATTGTATCGGAACTGGGAGACAAAGGCATTGTTAATGAGGTTTACCGCTCGTATGAGGGTGTAGCGGCCGCTATACAGGCGACTTTGGCGTCGAGCGAGGCAGAAAATGTTGTCACTATTATTCCTTCGATCGCCCTATCCCTTGACAAAGATGACATTTCCTCTGCGGCAAGGCTATTGGTTGCACGAACTACTCCAGACGCTTCCACAGGCCTTTATGCTACGGTAGTGACGGATGAGAGAGGGATTGCGTTGGGCCAGGTTTACAGCAGCGAAAGAAGTATTTCTGAGGCGTTGAAAACCGGCACCGGTGTTTACCAGAGCCGGAAACGGGGCCTCTGGTACAAAGGCCAATCGAGCGGGGATACGCAGGAATTAGTCAGAATTGATTTCGACTGTGATAGCGACTGCTTGCTTTTCGTTGTAAAACAGAAAGGGAAAGGTATTTTGATCATTATAGTTTTCTTTTGGTACTGCTTTGTCTTACTGACATCCTTTCTTATCCAGGATTCTGTCATTTGGGAACTGCCACTTGCTTCGGCCAGTACAGAGGGCTGTCACGCCTTCAGAAGACCCTACAAGCTCGCAAGAAGGATGCGCCTCCTGGATCTTACACTGCTAGACTTTTCAAGGATCCGAAGCTCGTCCAGGCAAAGATTATGGAGGAGGCTGAGGAGCTGTGCAATGCTACTTCACCGGAGGATGTAGCATTTGAAGCAGCCGATCTATTGTATTTTGCATTGACCAAGTGCGTCGCTGCCGGTGTAACTCTAGAAGATGTCGAGAGGAATATTGATCTCAAAACCTTAAAGGTGAAACGGCGACAAGGGGATGCCAAACAGGGCTGGGCCGAAAAGGTTGGCCTTGCATCGCCAAAGGAGGAACAAAAGCGACCCGTTGAGCCTGCTACAGGGGTTGATCACACTGGCAGGATTAAAATGCGGCGCATTGTGACTGCAACTGCCTCCTGGGATATCATAAAGGAAGCATTGCAACGCCCATCTCAAAAATCAAATGATACGATCGTGGCTCTTGTTAAACCTATAATTGAGGACATTCAGAAGAACGGGGACGCAGCCGTCTTGAAATATACGCACAAATTTGAAAAGGCTACCTCTCTCACCACTCCCGTCATCAAGGCGCCGTTCCCAAAGGAGCTGATGCAAATTACTCCCGAGACTACCAAGGCCATCGATGTGAGTTTCGAGAACATCCGCAAGTTCCACGCTGCACAAATGGACGACAAGCCACTACATGTCGAGACAATGCCCGGTGTCATTTGTTCACGATTCTCTCGCCCCATCGAGAGAGTTGGCCTCTATGTTCCAGGTGGGACTGCGGTTCTCCCATCAACAGCAATGATGCTTGGCGTTCCTGCCATGGTAGCGGGATGTAAGAAGATAGTCCTCGCCTCCCCTCCACGATCTGATGGCAGCATATCGCCGGAGATCGTATACATCGCGCACAAAGTAGGGGCAGAGAGCATTGTGCTCGCAGGTGGCGCGCAGGCCATTGCGGCCATGGCATACGGTACCGAGAGCATCAGCAAGGTCGACAAAATACTCGGTCCTGGGAACCAATTCGTAACCGCGGCAAAGATGTTGGTTTCAAATGATACTTCAGCCGGCGTCAGCATTGACATGCCAGCAGGGCCCAGTGAAGTCCTTGTCGTCGCTGATAAGGACGCTAATCCGGCCTTTGTCGCTTCCGACCTACTCAGCCAGGCAGAGCACGGTGTCGACTCTCAAGTTGTTTTAATTGCTGTTGATATCAATGATAAACATCTGAAAGCCATCGAGGACGAGTTGCACGCGCAGGCCATGGCTCTCCCACGTGTAGATATCGTACGTGGTGCGATTGATCACTCTATCACCTTTGTCGTCAAGGATATAGATGAAGCTATTGCGTTGAGCAATCGCTATGCGCCTGAACATCTTATCTTGCAACTAAAAAATGCAGCGGAGGTCCTTCCCCTCGTCCAAAATGCCGGAAGTGTTTTCATTGGCGAGTGGACACCGGAGAGCGTTGGCGATTATTCGGCTGGCGTCAACCACTCTCTTCGTAAGTTCTTGTTATTTATAATTATTCGCGTTTATCACCACGACACACATCGTCTCCCATCCCCTTTCCACATACTTCTCCCTCGATACCAAAACTCAAACTAACTATTCTTTTTTCTTTCCCTTTTCTGCGTTTCTAGCAACCTACGGCTATGCCAAACAGTATTCTGGTGTCAACCTCGCCTCGTTTGTCAAACACATTACCAGCTCCAACCTCACTGCTGACGGACTACACAATGTGGGCGAGGCGGTTATGCAGCTGGCATCAGTGGAGGGGTTGGATGCCCATCGCCGCGCTGTCAGCATTCGCATTGACCACATGAATCGTAATCAATGAGGAACGCAAACGCGTAACTCAGTGTCCGTGAATACGTTATATGTTTCTGTGCGCCATTTCATTCCGAGTTGTATTCTCTCCCTTTCCCTTTCTCTTCTTTTCCTTCCATGTTTTCCATTTACATTTTCTTTCTCATTTTCTCTCGGGTCAGGGCTAGACTGGTGCGCCAGACAAAATGATATTAAAATGAGGACAAGCAAAGTAAGGATGGCAATTGGTAAAGGACAAGAAAGTGAGCTGATGATGATGAATTGATTTTTTTCTTTTTCTTTCTTTCTTTCTTTTTTTTCTTTTCTTTTTTTTTTTTTTTTCAGGGGGGAAATTAGAGGGAAATGGAGGAGATGGTATTAAGTGAATGCCAGTGAACCAGGTAAACCACGAAGTCAATAGATCATTGCAACGCTGACTTCTACATTGCCAACAGATGCTATTATCATTGGGCCATTTCTTGTGATATCAAAACCCCAGGCCTGCAGTTTGCTGGTTGTTAAGACTCTGCAAATCCATGGGGATCTCTAGATTACCGGATATGGGATGAACCTGCAAACTTAGCAAGCGCAAATTTACTTGTTGATACTCTTGGGGATATACGCGCAAGTAGTAGAGAGTAGTTGACTATATACAGAGAGTATTCTCATGCATTATGCTGAAGTATGTACTGCTCCACAGACGGTACATGCTTGCCCGAACATGGCAGCGACTGTCTATTTCACGTGACCAATGATCACGAGGTTGTTGAATGACGTCATCTCAAAATGCCGAGGTACAACCATAACTGCTATTTCAGCCAGCGAATTCCCCTCTTAATCTGAGGAACAACCAACTGAAATTCTTCCGTATTATTTCCTCAAAATCGAATGATTTACCAGGTCTCGATCAGGCGGCATTGGCGGGTCGCGGGCTAGGGAAATCAATTTGGCCAGCAAATCCTTAACCGTGGATATATCACTCTCAATCTGCTCACTCTTCAAAGGAGACCCAAAAATTTCAAGTATAATAATAGGAAATGAAAGTCCAAGACCGCACATTCATTATATCAGGCGGGTGCGTGAAAAACCAGCTCCGCAGCAATTCGTACTCACTCCTACCTGCTCAAACAAGTCCATATCTCCATCACTCTAAATAAAAGGGGGGACAGTAAAAGATATCTGAGTCTAACATTGTGAAGCCTACAGGTCCTCCGGCCTCGGCCTGGCAACCGCTGTGGCTCTCCTCAGCCAAGGCGCCAACGTCTCGCTCCTGGACCTCAACCCACCCCCCTCGGGCATCTCCCCTCTGCTCACAAACCCATCCCGCACACTCTACACACGCACGAATGTCACCAGCACCGCAAGCCTCCAACATGCCATTGATTCCACCGTCTCCTGGATCTCCAGTTATGCTAACGCTCCCCTGGGAGGCGTCATATGCTGCGCGGGCATCGGCTACGGCGAGCGCGCTCTGCCTCGACAAGATCCCAGTAGTGGAAAAGTAAAGACAATGTCCATCGAAGGCTTCGATCGGGTTATTGCCATCAACTTGCGTGGCACGGTGGATCTGATAAGACTAGCGCTGCCGCATCTGGCAGCTGTAGAGGGAGAGGGCGGCGATGGGGAGCGGGGGGTCATTGTAGTTGTGTCCAGCGTAGCCGCATATGAGGGGCAGGTTGGGCAGTTGGCATATTCAGCGAGTAAGGGGGCAGTGTCTGGGATCGTGCTGCCGTTGGCAAGGGAGGTGGGGAGGACGGCGGGGATTAGAGTTGTTGGTGTTGCGCCGGGTGTGTTCCAGACGGGAATGACGGTCAGGCCGAGGAATAGTCCGCCTGGCGAATCTGGTGGTGAGAAGAAGAGACTGGGGGTTGAAGAGAGGAGCGGAGCAAATAGCGGAATGGTTGAGTATCCTATGCGGATGGGGAGGCCAGAGGAGTTTGCAGAGTTTGTGTTGGGGTGCATCAGGAATGGGATGGTAAATGGGAGTGTATATAGGCTGGATGGAGCTGTTAGGATGCCCAGTAGGCTGTGAGAAGGGTTGAAGATGCCAGGGTAATTTGATATCTGTAACTATATCTCGCCGTACGATTCGGTTGTCTGTCATTTCATGGTATCCACTATTAATATATTTTCACCTCCTGTAACCCAATACGTATTTTTTATCTCCCATCCAAAGACGTTATCACGCTCAGTTGAACACACAAACGGGAAATAACATCGTAAAACAAAAAAAGAGCCCAAAAGCCACACCTCATTTTTTTCGTTCCCTAATCTTCCATTTAATCCCGAACTTATTAACTCCGCCCACGGAATTTTCCATTTTCGCCCGTTGCCGATCCAGCTCCTGCGCTGCTGCAACAAGCTCTTTATGCTGTAACCGTAGCGCTTCAACCTTCTTCCTTCGTGCCTCCGCGGCTCTCTTCTTCAATCTCCTCGCCGCCAACATCTCCTTTCTAGCCCGTTCCTCAGCTTCAATCTGCTTCTTCGATCTCTGGACCTTTTTCTGTTTTTCCCTAAACGAAGCCTCCCCCTCTTCCAACCCCTCTTCCCCCTCCTCCTCATCACTGTGTTCCCGCCATCTTCTCCACTTCTCAATTTGTAACCGTCTCTGCTCCTCCAGTGAATTTGCAAATACAATCTTCCTTCCACTGCCATCCTGAAGTACCCCACTCATGCCATCCTGCAATCTGACCTCCTGTTCCGCCCCTTCAAGCTGCCTTCTCACTTTTTCCCCAACAACACGCAGATATCCTGCATCCTGCGTCTTGAGCAGCTTAATCGCCTCATGGCTGAGCTTTGAAGCGGCTTCCGAACCCCGTGCACCATGGCGACCTTGTCTATTAGATTTTTCGGACATCATACCAAAAGCGAACTCGTCCGGGTTACGGTCCCGCGCTTTCTCGCGGAGCCGTTGCAGCTTGGCCTTCTTGACATTGTAATCACGGGCGCGGAGAGTATAGTCCTATATTGGTGAAGGCATCTCGTTAGTTGCTTTAGCTATTAGGCAATAAGCAAGAAGGGGTAAATAAAGATTTATTTCCGTCTAATTTGCCGTGTAGAGTGATATTTTCACAAAGTTACACACTACTAAGTGAAAAATCAAACTCGTACCTTGTGTTTCTCGAGAATACCCCATTTCTCGCGACTACTTGGCTGAGCCCGCTCACGGTGAGGCCGCCGTTGAACGGCATTCCGCATGGAAGACATGCTTGTTGTGGTGATGTATATTGTGCGTGCGCTGAGGACGGAGGCTGTTATGCTCCAAAGGTTGGTGAACTAAATGGGCAAAAATGTTACTGCTGAAGCACAAGAAATACGTTCGTCATATCGAGATGTCGAGATAAAGTGGCGATGTGCGAATATGCTCCTTAGAAATAAATAATTGTCGAAAGAGTGGTATATTTGAGATGTTGGTTTGAAGAATGGTTGATTAAATATTTTTTGTGTGCTTTCCCATTTTTAAATAGTCTCGGAACAGAACAAGCTTCAACGTTTTCAGGCTCGCAAATTCCCAACACCATACGCGGATGCGGAAAAAAGCCTATAACGCCGTCCAGCTCCCAATTGCTATACTTCTAAGCGAGAACCAAATGCATTGACTACGTCCAGATTCTCGAAGTATCCGCTCATTAGTCCTCCCTAACCCTGTTCCCAATGGCGGCAAGGTCCCCCGACACCAGAACAACTCCTCCCGCCCCCGCCTCTACAGCATCGCCTGCAAATATCAACCTGCGGAATCCTCTACCGTTATCTGCAGCACAAGAAGCACAAGTGAGAGATTTATATTACAAACGGGTAAGAGGGCATTGCGCGGCGGAAATCAAAGGTGAGTGTTTTGTTACATGCAACGTCCTAGAAGAGAATCAGACATGGTAAATCTTGAAATTGCTGCTGCGTGCAATTACAAAGTGAGATCTATCAGAGAGATATATTTATCCGTTCATCCTTACTATATCCTCTCACTTGGATACACAATTTTCTAACCCAACCCCCCTCCCCCACTTTGTTTTACCCTCCTTAAACCATATATAATCGAGCATCCGTGCTGACCATGCCCATACACTCCCAGAATTCGCTGCCTGCGCCATAAACCGGACAGTAACCGCAACGTGGGTGTGTCGCAAGCAACGCCTGGCCATGAATGCCTGCATGGTTGAGCACGCGAAGCCAGAAGAGGAAGATCGCGCGCGTGAAGAGTGGTTCACCAGCCGTGAAGAGCGGAGGAGGAATCGGGAGCTAGAGGAAAAAAAGACGGAGGAGAGGCGGCGAGAGGTTATACAAATGATGAGGGATGATGAAGAGAGGCGGCGGAGAGAGGAGGCTGAGAGCGCCAAGGGGAAGAAAGGGTGGTTTGGGTAGGGGCTTAAACATATACCCTTTTATATGGATATGTTTCAGGGTTATTTTTTTCCGCTTTCGGGCCACGCCGCTTATCTTGATTACGGGTGCATCACTGGGTGTTGGTTGGAGTTTTCCATTTTGATTCGATTGCTCTACCTTCTTGTGGCTTTTCATTCTCTTAGGAATGTTGGGAGGTGCGGGAGGAGACTCCTTTTTCTCAGCTTTCCTTCGTTTCTTCCTCTCTACCTTTTGAAAGCCTCTTTGTATAAATATAATTCGTATAAATGGCGTTTAGATCTTCGCTAAACAGTGTTTCTTTCGCTATTATTGCTCCAACTCTTTTTGTTTCTTAACCGTACCGAGGCGCCCATCCGAATGTAAAAAGAAATAAAAGCCAAACGCCGTCCCAAATTATGATGGTGAAATGAGAACACTGTAAGGGGGAAAAAGGAGTATCGTAGCAAGCCCCAAACGGACCACTTCTCAATGTTTCGGTTAAGTGAGGGATATCAAACATCTGTCATGGTCTTATCCTCATCCCGCACTTCCCCATCCAAGCCCTCATCACCAAATATATCCTCCATCGCTCCATCACCATCACCATCATCTTCATCTTCCCCTCCGTCTGCTCTCTCGTTCGTGATTGACACTTGGCCCGTCCCCCCAGCTTGCTGCTGCCCACTATTATTATTCCCATCAGCATCAATTTCCATCTCTCCCTCGCCCGTTTCTTCCTCCCCCTCACTCTCCCACTCTTCCTTCAGTCCCCACCCAACCCCTGTCAAACAAAATCGCTCAGGCGGCAACCTCATCCCACCCATCATAACGCCACCAGCCGACGCCGCCGCCGCCGCCGCACTGGCTGCCACCCCACCATCAACCCCCCGCATAACACCAGGCAGCATCATTCGATTCCTCTCCGCTGCAACATCCATAAGAAACTCCTTTGGCAGACCCGGCTGGAACTGATAATGCAGACGCGACGCAATACTCATCCGCAGCGCGCCAAGGCTGACTGAGCTGAGATCCAAATTCGCAGCCTGCTGGCCTCCGCCTTGTGCCTTGCCATCCCCGCCGCCTTTGCTAGTAGATGTACCAGCACCCCCAGACTCCCCCGGATACCCTTCCGTGGCAAGGTAGACGGCATCCTGCAGCGTGCTGGATGTGTATCGGTAAGCAAAGTCGAGAAGCTGGAGGGGGACACGTTCTTGGTATGCGGTTACGCCGAGAGAGGCGAGGAGCATGTGGATGAGGCGCGCATCGCGCGGGCGGCGGGATTTGCCTGTGTCTTGTAGTGAGGTGGCGGGGAGAATGGTTGCGTTGGCTGGGCCGGGGTTGGTGGAGGTGTTGTTGGTGGCTGTTGTGGTGGCTGGGTTGTTTGCTTGAGAGGGATTGTTGCTGGTGGATGAGGGCGCATCGGCGGGAGGTGTGAGAGGTTGTGTAGATGGGGCGGATGCGCCTGGATTTGACCGTGGTGAGGTCATTGTGTGATGGGATTGAGGGTTGAGGTGCAATCGGGCAACTCGTATGATACAGGTCGTTGTCATCCCCCGATGGGGACAGCGCGGACAGTCAAGGGGCAGAGGTCGGGTTTTGAGGGCGTTGCATAAGTTCTTAGTTGAAAGCAATGGCGCCTGTAGTGCGAGGTAGTTCGTCAATTGAAACAATCGTGCAGAAACCAATCCGTCAGATGAAGAAAATTGATCCTATTGATTCTACGGTTGAAGAAGCTCTGGCAAATATTGGTGAGCTTCAGGGCCGATTAGGTAATACTTGCATAACCATTTAGCTTGGCATTCATCCCATGCTCAATGATACCTGAAATCATTTAACAAAGAATATTCCGGTCTATTCAAAGGCCAAATTTAGGCCTGTATCTAGAGGTTGTTACATGTAGGTATAAAATGCCCGAACAGCAGAAAACCAAAGGATGCAAACACGTGAAAGAGAAGAATAAGGAGCTACTCCCGCTAAATAATCAAGAAAAACCACCCCGATGAACTCCCCAAGTTCTAACCGAATATAATCACGAAGAAAAAGGAAACGCGTATGTGGATCCAGGTAGTGCTTGTAAGCTTCTCCGTTTCCGACATTATCCAATCACGCAGGTAACGCTTCGGAGTGCCTGCTCCCACCATTAATCGATAAAGTCGCGAGCCTAACACCCCCTCCCGAGTCCGGATCCTCGTCCTCGTCCTCATCCCCATCCGAATTTGAATCCTGTTCCAAATGATCCTTATTGTCAACGTCGAAATTTCCCTCTTCATCTTCCAAATCCGACCCTTCAGCTTGATCTTCAGACGCATATTCCTCTAACATCGAATTGGCCAAATTTCGCATGTCTGCTCCGGGATGTCGATGATCCATCGAAATATAACTATCACGCATGTATTCGCCATCGTACCCATCCTCGCTACCCTCATCCTCATGCTCGTCCTCACCGTCACCATCATCACTCGTATCCGTCGCAGAGAAATTGTCCAGGTCTCTGGGCTGATCCCGCCAATACGTGAAATCCGTGAAATCTTCCCCGCCTTCTTGAACAAGCATTCTGACTGGTGGGAAAAAGTGGTCGACAAGTTCACGCATGGTTACGTAACTACTCTTATACTTATTCAAACTCAGCAGGTCCAGCGAAACCTCTGCATTTGAGTTGATGGTAAATATCCTCGATGAAGGGATGTTCACTGATCGATAACTGAGTGCGTCAGTGAGTCGGTTGCCGAAACCAGCATAGAAAGGGTTTTTCCGTCCCCGGAACAGGCTCAGGATATCGCGTAGACAGGCCATTTTGAATACCTCTGGTTTCCTCAAGTATATCTCACGGCGTAGAGCGGCTATTGTTCTATCCGGACTCATTATGACAGGCCCTTTAGGCAGTTTGTAGCCTTCCTGGACAATGCCGTTGAGATATGTTCGGGTTGTATCCGCTTGGCCAGTGGATCTACTCGTGAGGTACATCAAATTATATCCGTTGCTAACTATATCATTGTACAGCTTGGCGACCCCGAGGTGAGTCCAATCACGGCCGATCATGTTAAGCACATGTCCAAGGGCATCAGACCTTAATTATTGTGTAAGCAGCTCAAGTCGAAGAAGCGGTACAAGAAAGAAAATGCAAATGAGAATCAATATAAAAATACGAGGAGTACCATACTTCGTAATTGTCCCATCAATGTCAGAGATCACAATGGGCACTTTATAATTCCACAAATACATTGCCGCAGGGCATGTAGCTTTATTGACACTGAAAGTCATTTCATTGGCTCCAGGCTTCAGATTCAATGCTTTCAGCTGTTCACTTGTTAGTCTGAGGGTCTTGGCATAATTGCGACTCGGTTCGACGTTCTCTCCATCGCTAGGCGTTTGAAAGTCAGCAGGAAATTGTTGGAGAACGGACTGGGATCGATGATGTCTTTGAGTCGCTTGTGTTTCATTACCGCTCTGTTCGCTTTCGCTGTGATAGCCAGGGTCGGAAACCGCGTCGTCCATGGTCCTCGATGGGTGCAATGCTGCTCTGTGGCTTGCTGCCTCCTTAGACTCCTCGCTACTATAGATCCATAAGTTCCCATGCTCGTCAGCACCAATCAACGCTCCGATGTCATAATTGCCCTCAAGTTCCTCCGCGAGCAGTTTTCGAGCAATCACTTCAGCGCGAAGCGCATCCTCGTCACTGCTCTTATAACCCGTCATGTCCAACATTAAGTCCCCACTGCTCCGTTACATGTGATGGAATATTAGAGATAGATAACTT